AGAAAACTAACAAGTCCTAAGTAGTCAAGCTTCCAGGGGATGGGGGCAGAGTCCCAGGGAGGCTGGGGACACCATTACCTGGGGATCCTGGGGTGGCTAGTTCAAAACCAAGCATCCTCTTTCTCTCTCACTCCCCCCAGGGCAGAGGTGGGGTTTTCTCCACACGCTACCCCTAGGGTGTTCATTCTCTCTATCTTTATCTCTTGATCTCTCCATCTCTGGCTCAGAGATGGAGAGATCCATCCACATCCTCAGGTCAGAGAGGTCCAGTTCAGCTCGTTCTTCCCTCTCCTGTAACCCTGCTTGCTCAATCAGTTACCAAACTTTCCAGACTTTCCTAAGAGATTGATAAGGAATAAGCGCCTTAGTGGGCTTTTCTTGAGTGCTTGCCCCACAGAGGAGCCACCATTTAGAACCAGTTTTTTTTTGAATCACAGTCCCAGTGCATCTGGTAGCCTCCTTTGCCTCTCAGCTTACTGTTTTGACAAAGTCGGACCTACAGAAGAGGTGAAAGAACTGTGCAGTGGCCACATGTCTGCCTAGCACCCAGATTCAGCTCTCCCTCACGTTGCACCATTTGCCAACGCCTCTCTCTGCCCTGCCCTTGTATGTGAATGTCTTTGCTGAATCTTTTGAAAGCAAGTTGCAGACATCCTGACCCTTCACTCCTAAATACTTCACGTGCCTCCGAAGAATGGCATCCCCCCACATAAACACCCCTCATGACCCCCAAGGAAATTGGCCAGTGATTCAATCATGCCATCTCATGTATCGATTTCTCCAGCTGTGCCACAAACGTCTTTTGGGAACTTTCCCTGTTCTTGTCACCAATCCAGGATCCAGTTAAGGGTCACATGTTGCATTTGCTTTCTGAGTCTCTTTGACAGCCCCATCCTCCCCAGGGCCCCCAAACCCTCACCTCTTTTTCTGTGTTCTGACCCCCCTGGAGAAGAGAGGGAAGGAAGGAAGGCTGGAAGGAAAAGTCTCAGACTGCAGTGCAATTCTCAGAAAATTTCAGCAAAACCAATGGGAGTCCTTGGGAGTGCCCTGTCTTTCATACACTGGCTAGAGGGGCCAGGGAAGCTCATTGAATCACCACCTTAGTGTTAAAGACCTGGGATGGATTTCTCAGCACAACTGTCTTCTCAATCAGGCTCCTGCCACTCAGAGAGACACATTATTGTGGCCACCACAAGGGTACTGCCTTAAAAAAAAAAAAAAAGTGGCGATTTTTATTTTATTTTACTTTATTTTTATTTTTTTAAGTTTATTTATTTATTATTCTTTTTCCTTTTTAAAGATTTTATTTATTTATTCATGAGAGACACAGAGAGAGAGAGAGAGAGACAGAGACACAGGCAGAGGGAGAAGCAGGCTCCATGCAGGGAGCCCGATACAGGACTCAACCCAGGGACTCCAGGATCACACCCTGGGCCGAAGGCAGGCCCTAAACCGCTGAGCCACCCAGGCGTCCCATTTTTTAAGTCATCTCTATACACAAAGTGGAGTTCAAACTTATGACCCAGAAATCAAGAGTCGCACGCCCCACTCACTGAGCCAGCCAGGCACCCCTAAATCTTGGTGATTTTTTTAAAAGATTTTTATTTATTTATTCATGAGAGACACACAGAGAGAGAGGCACAGACACAGGCAGAGGGAGAAGCAGGCTCTATCTGGGGAGCCTGACGTGGACTCGATCCCCGGTATCCAGGATCACACCCTGGGCTGAAGGCGGCACTAAACCGCTGAGCCACCTGGGCTGCCCAACCTTGGTGATTTTTTTTTTTAAGATTTTATTTATTTATTCATGAGAGACAGACAGAGAGAGAGAGAGAGAGAGAGAGAGAGAGAGAGAGAGAGAGAGGCAGGGGAGAAGCAGGCTCCATGCAAGGAGCCCAACATGGGACCCGATCCCGGGTCTCCAGGATCACATCTTGGACCGAAGGCCGTGCCAAACCGTTGAGCCACCGGGGCTCCCCAACCTTGGTGATTTTTAAAAACCATTTTGAGATAGAATTATACGCACATACCATATAATTGAACCATTTCAAGTGTACTGTTCACTGGATTTTAGTATGACCACACCACAATCTAACTTTTTTTTAAGATTTTATTTATTTATTTGACGGAGAGAGGAGCAAGCAAGCACAAGCAGGGGAGCAGCAGGCAATAGGAGAGGGAGAAGCAGGCTCCCCTTGAGCAGGAAGCCCGGCATGAGACTTGATCCCGGAACCCCAGGATCATGACCTGAGCTGAAGGCAGATGCTTAACTGACTGAGCCACCCAGGTACCCCCCACCACAGTCTAACTTTAGAACATTTTCATTATGCCAAAAAAAAATATCCAGTAACTCTGTCTCTAGAGCTTTGCCTGTTTCATATAAATGGAATCATGTAATGCTTGGCCTCATGTGATTGGCTTCCTTTTTTTTTAATTTTTATTTATTTATGATAGTCAGAGAGAGAGAGAGAGAGAGAGAGAGAGAGAGGCAGAGACATAGGCAGAGGGAGAAGCAGGCTCCATGCACCGGGAGCCCGACATAGGTTTCGATCCCGCATCTCCAGGATCGCGCCCTGGGCTAAAGGCAGGAGCTAAACCGCTGCACCACCCAGGGATCCCTGGTTGGCTTCTTTTAGCAAAATGTTGTCAGGGTGGTTCATCCATGTTACGGCAGGTGTTAGAAACTCATTCCCTTTTATTGCCAAATGACATTCCATCACATGGATTTACCACATTTTCTTGGTCAATTGATGTCATCAACTAACAAGGCTTTAGGTTGCTTCCACTTTAGGCTATTATGAATAATGCTGTGGGATCCCTGGGTGGCTCAGTGGTTTAGAGCCTGCCTTCGGCTCAGGGTGTGACCCTGGAGTCCCTGGGTCGAGTCCTGTATCGGGCTCCCTGCATGGAGCCTGCTTCTCCCTCTGCCTGTGTCTCTGCCTCTCTGTGTGTCTCTCATGAATAAATAAATAAAATCTTAAAAAATAATAATGCTCCTGTAAATGCATGTACAACTCTTTGTATGGACACATGTTTTTCTTTCTCTGGGGTACATACCTAGGAGGGGAGTTGCTGAGTCATATATTACATGTTTAACATTTGGAAGACGTGCCAGACTGTTGCAGAATAGTTGTGCCATTTTACCTTCCCAGAAGCAATGTCCCAGGATTCCAGTTTCTCAACATCCCTGAAGCATCTTTAAATGTTTGTAATTCTCTGATTTTTGTATTTGTTTTGTTTGTTTTTTCCTGGTGCCCAAGTGTATTTAGTGTACCCTCTGGCAGTTGGGCCAAAGAAAGAGAAAGATGGCATTTGGGGGAGGGGTGGCAATGCAATTTATTTTTGGCATTTTGATCTTAAATGCAGCCACTTTGCTGAACTTTTTTGCTAGTTTTACTAGTTTGTGTATTTGTTTGAATTATTGTGTGTAGTTAACTGCCCCTCCCACCCACTCAGGCTTTCTCCCCCTACCCAAATTAATAAAATCTTTAAAAAAAAATAAAACTAAAGGGAATTTGTTTTGCCATGTAAGTTTCTAGTTGATAAACTTTATATATCCTTGAAGCACTTGTAATTATCCCTGGTATTTCTTGTAGCCATCCGAAATGCACTTGTTGCCATTTGCCCAAAGACTAAGGATGTTGAGCATCTTTTCATATGCCTGTCAGCCATTTATATATCTCCTTTGGAGAAATTCAGATTTATGATTCACAAATATTTACTCCCATACTTTAGTCTTTTTTTAAGCATTTATTCATTTACTTGAGAGAGAGAGCAAGTGCAAGTGAGAGAGAGAGAGCACAAGTGGAGCCAGGGTCAGAAAGGGACAGAGGAAGAGGGAGAAGCAGATTCCCCATTGAGCAGGGAGCCCTACACGGGACTCGATCCCAGGACCCCAGGATCATGACCTGAGCCCAAGGCAGAGGCTTATCTGGCTGAGCCTCCCAGGCACCCCCCTCCTTTTATCTTTTCATTTTCATGGCAGTATCCTTTGAGGCACAAAAGTTTTTGATGTTGGTGAAGTCTGCTGTATCTGCTTTTTCCTTTTGTTGCTTATGCCTTTGGTGTTGTATCTAAGAAATTGTCTTCTAATTCAAGATCACAAAGATATACTCCTGTTTTCTTCTGGGAATTTTATAGTTTTAGCTCTTGTATTTAGGTCCATGATCCACTTTGAGTGAGTTTTGTATATGGTATGAGGTAGGGGTCCAAAATCATTCTTCTGCCTGTGGATATCTTTTTTTTTTTTTTTAAGATTTTATTTATTTATTCATGAGAAAGAGAAAGAGAGAGAGAGACGCAGAGACATAGGCAGAGGGACCATTCAGGGACCCCGATGCAGGATTCGATCCTGGGACTCCAGGATCATGCCCTGAGCTGAAGGCAGGCACTAAACTGCTGAGCCACCCAGGGATCCCCTTTCCTTGGTTCCTATTGCTTTTCAGTAACCTTTGAAATTTTTTCAGTACGTCCTCCAACGTTTTTGTTTCTTTTCAAAGCATTCACTTTTTAAGTGTGTCTTTTAAGTTTCTTTTAATTTATTATGCCCTGGACCTTTATCCCCATGTGCTTTATTTATTGAAGAAACTGTCATTTGTGTACCACCTCTTCATGGTGTCATTTAACATGTTCTTTGGTCCCTTGTGTTTTAGTAATCCAGTGGCATGATCTGATTTAGATTTAATTTTAGCACAGGAATAATTTGCAAGAGGTATGTGTGTACGTGTGTGTGTTAGTGTGTGTTTCCAGAGTCAGAACATACTGTAGAGTTGACTCTCCCTGTGATGTTAGGGGCCATCCATGATCTTCACCTGAATCTTTTTTTTTTCATTAGAAGTAATTTACATATTGAAAGGGTCACTCTGGTTGCTGGGGGTTAGGAGGTTGTAGGTATGAAAGATAATCATGCAAGAAAGCGCTTGTCGCCATGCCTGGCACACAGTGACCACTCAATAAATATTAGCTGTTGTTGTTGTTGTTGTTGTTGTTGTTGTTGTTAGAGCTGTTTGTGGGGACCCAGAAGTCATTTTTTGGCCAGAGTGATCTCCACATTCTCCTCAGCCCCTGGAGGAGAAGCCGCCGGTGTCCCAAGGCTCTGGGAGGCATGTTCAGGAATGTGGCAGCCATCTCTTTGCACCTGATTGGGCCCCTCCAGAGAAAGAAGGCTGGAACTTCTCTCACTCGGTGCTTGCACCAGACTGTAAGTGCTCTAGCCCCATGTGCTTTGCTGCCTAAACACAGGGTCTCTGTGATCTGGCATGGTCCTGGCTTCAAAACTGTGCATGAGCCTCCTCTTTCAGGAAGGCTTCCCTGACTGTAGCCTAGATGAGAACCCTTCCTTGAGCTTGCCTCTAATGTAGAACTTGTAGCTCTGCATTTGAATGGTCTGCAGAGCGCTACTGCCTCCCCATCATCCTGTAAGCCTACCCCAGTGTTTGATACACAGTAGGTGCTCAATAGATGTTGTCTGAGGAATACATTATACACAAGTCCAAGAACAGGCACTGTTTCTTCATTTATGCGATTACTGTGTGACATACTTAAAGGTCACTCGTTTGAGTTCCCCAAGTTTTGTGGCTCCCCCATTATTTTTACCTCCCTCCTATACTCATTCACCTCCATTCATCTCTTTTGTTGTCTCTTTTTTAAATTTTTTTTTTATTTATTTATGATAGTCACAGAGAGAAAGAGAGAGAGAGAGACAGAGACATAGGCAGAGGGAGAAGCAGGCTCCATGCACCGGGAGCCCGACATGGGACTCAATCCTGGGTCTCCAGGATTGTGCCCTGGGCCAAAGGCAGGCGCCAAACCGCTACGCCAGCCAGGGATCCCTTGTTGTCTCTTTCTATATGCCTCTGTACCCCCTACTCCTTTTTTTTGTACCCCCTACTCCTTACTGCATCCCAACCTTCTCAAACTTCCCTCACTCCAATTTGTGTCTCCCACTTTCACCCCCAACTCATTGCACTGTACATTTTTTCAAGAGTTTATTTTTAAGTAATCTCTGCACCCAATGTGGGACTCAAACTCACAACCCCAAGATCAAATGTCACATGCTCTACTGATTGCGCCAGCCAAGCACGCCTCTATTTTTTAAAAATATGATGCATCCCCAATTCAAAAGTAATTCCTATAGCATTGAAACCATGATGCCATCAATGTAAGATGCATGAACTAGTAAGGGGCGGGGGGAATGTCAACTAACCTCCTGCTATAGATTCTGAGATACATCTGAATTCGGAGAATGTGCAAGGTGAAAAAAAATGCACCCGTCAGAATCAGTCAAATATGGTGTGATCTCCATACAAAAAATTTGGAAGCATGGAATAGCACACACATGGGGCACCTGGTTGTATGCTCAGTTGGAAGAGCATACAACTTTTGATCTCAGGGTTATGAGTTCGAGCTCCACATTGGGTGTAGACATCATTTAAATACATAGACTTAAAAAAGAAAAAGGCACACACATTAAATTAAATCACCTATAATTCCACAATAGAAAACGTATTACCAAAATCCATCTCTCATTTTCAAATAAAATTTTCCATCATGATCTCAAGCAGAGAGAACCTTTGTTAATATTTTGATAGATTTCCCTTCCAAACTTTTTTGTCTGCTCACGTATAGTCATAGAAAAATGTACGATGTATACACAAGTATATGTTAGGGTGCATTTTTTACAAAACATAATTATACTGTACATACTACTTTGTAGCCCGTTTTATTGATGTCGGCATATCACAATGATAAAAATTCTTCTAACAGGTGATTTTGGCTGGTTCAGTCAGTAGACCATGAGACTCTTGGTCTCAGGGTGCTAAGCTGGAGCCCCATGTGGGGTGTAAAATTTACTTTTAAAAAGCTATTTTTTAAAGGGGGGGGTAGGGATTTCTCTCATCTACAAAATGGGCCCAGCCAGATTGTTCCGAGTTTAGAGAGATTCCTACTTGGCGCAGCTGTTTAGCGCTGCCTTTGGCCCAGGGCGTGATCCTGGAGACCTGGGATCGAATCCCACATCGGGCTCCCTGCATGGAGCCTGCTTCTCCCTCCTCCTGTGTCTCTGCCCCCCCCTCTCTGTCTCTCATGAATAAATAAATAAAATTTAAAAAAAAAAAAAAAGATTGTTCTGAGTTTAGCAAGAGCGCCCTAAGGGCAATCTGCTGCCACCACGTTCTCCACGGTGCCTCGGCTCTCTGCCTCCTCAGCGCGGCTGAATCTGGTCTGAGTCTCAGGGCTCGCGGAGCCCGGGCTGGCGGGCGGAGCAGGTGCAGCACAGGAAAGGGGCGCGGCCCGGGGGCGAGGCGGCCTGAAGCCCCTCCCGCGCTCTAAGAGTGCAGGTCGGCGTCTGTCGCTCAGCGGCTGTGGCCTCAGAAGAGTTGCGTCTCCACCGCTCTGACCTGCTGCTTGCTCTTTCTCCAGCTCACCATGGCCACGCGGCTGCAGGCTCGCAGGCTGGACGGGATTGACCACAACCCCTGGTGAGCTCCGCGGGCCGGGAGGCGTGTGGGTGCCCCCTTGGGCGTGCGGGCGGGACGGGGCTGGAGGTGCCTGGGTTTGCTGTCGCCCGGCGCGTCCCGGGGCTGCCACCGTGCCGGGACTGCGAGGTTTGCAGCCACAGCCCCAGAATGGTGAGAGCAGAAGCAGCGGGCCTGGGCTGGAATCTCAGCGTCGCCCCGCTTGGCTGTGGCGCGGGGGGGCCAGTGACGCACCCGCTCTGAGCCTGGGCCACAGCTGCAAAATGAAGATACTTACATCTGCTTTGAAGGGCCTTGGGAGGATAGGGCGAAAGGCTGTATGAAAGCAGTGGCCATTACCTAGGCCCCAGGCTTTGGGCTTTCCAGGGATTACTTTATTTCACACTTAGTAAGTAATATAAGGTAAAATACAGGCAGCCCTGCACTGGACTTTTGCTGAGGTTAATTTCTTTTCTTTGTTTCTTGTTCTAAATATGAAAGAAGTGTGTGTCCATTGTTACTACTAATACAATGGATGCAGTGGGAAGGTGTGTAAGAAAAATGTGTAGATTTTTCCTAATCCCTCCCCACAACCTTTGGCCACCAGCATAGAGGTTCAGACTTATGACCAGGAGATCAACAAGAGACCAAGAGCAGCTTGCTCCACCCACCCAGCTATCCAGTCACCCCCACATCCCTGTACTTTCAAAAAAAAAGTTGCTAGCTCTTGTTTTTACAAAACACGGAGCTGTTTTTCTGTTGTTTCTTTTACTTTTTTTTTTTTTTAAGACAGAGCAGGTGTGCTTGTGAGGGAGGGGTGGGAAATGGGGGAAAGATGGGCAGTGAGAAGGGAGGGAAAGAATCTTAAACAGGGGCAACCCGGGTGGCTCAGCGGTTTAGCGCTGCCTTCAGCCCAGGGCAGGATCCTGGAGACCTGGGATCGAGTCCCACGTTGGGCTCCTTGCATGGAGCCTGCTTCTGCCTCTGCCTGTGTCTCTGCCCCCCACCCCTCTGTGTGTGTGTGTGTGTGTCTCTCATGAATAAATAAATAAAATCTTAAAAAAAAAAAAAAGGAATCTTAAACAGGCTCCATGCTCAGCACCCAGCACAGTGCAAGGCTCAATTTCACAATCCTGAGACTAGGTCCTGAGCCGAAACCAAGAGTTGAATGCTCAACAGACTGAGCCACCCAGGCTCCTCCCTCCACCCCCCATTTTTTTTTCTTTCAAACTCCTCTCATGTACAGCACATTGTGTTTTGCAAAGATCTTCCACCTGGTGCTCCATGGTGTTTGGGACAGAGGAGCCAGTCCCCAAACCCCTATAGTGTCCGACCGCCTTCTTGCTTGTACCACCTTCTGTCCTATGTGTGAGAGGGACTGGGCAGCATCGTAGGCTTTGGCAGATAAGGTAGAGTCCAACTCGGAGGGAGGAAATGACAAGAAGGCAGGCTGGGAGAGGCAGCAAGACTCTTGAGCCCACCACCCCATTTTACAGAAGGGAAGATTGAGACCAGAAGAGGCCAAGTCTCCTGCGAAGGCAGGGCAGAGCAGAAACAGGCCTGGGGAGAATGTACAGGACATCTATCCTCTCAGGCCTCTCTGTTTCCCTGAAGAGGTAGTCACCAGCTGGAGCCAGAAGAAAGGTTGTTGGGGGGCCAGAAATGGCAAGTGGGAGGGCTGGTGGGGGCCCCAGTCTGTCCAGGCTAATGGTCTAGAATCAAAGGCTTACTGGGCAATGCACTGACTGGGAGTCCTTGGGTAGATCATTGCCAACCTCAGTTTCTCCATCCCCATTGTGACTCAGGAATAGGACATGCCTCGTATGTATTGGAAGTTTATTGAGCACAATTTCAAACTGTGGTTAGTGAAATATCCACTTAGGAAGTCTCAACAAATATTTTTATTTTTTTTTTATTTTTATTTTTTTATTTATTTATGATAGTCACACAGGGAGAGAGAGAGAGGCAGAGACACAGGCAGAGGGAGAAGCAGGCTCCATGCACCGGGAGCCCGACGTGGGATTCAATCCCGGGTTTCCAGGATCGCGCCCTGGGCCAAAGGCAGGCACCAAACCACTGCGCCACCCAGGGATCCCCTCAACAAATATTTTTAAAGAATGGAGCAGGATGGGGCACCTGGGGAGCTCAGTTGGTGAAGCGTCTGGCTCCCAATCCCACCTCAGGTCTTGATCTCAGGGTGTGAATTCAAATCCCACATTGGGCTCCATGTGGGGCATGGAGCCTACTTAAAAAAAAAAAAAAGAATAGAGTAGGGTAGGGGCATCTGGTTGGCTCAGTCTGAAGAGCATGGGACTCTTGATCTTGGGGTCATGAGTTTGAGCCCCACACTGGGTATAGAGATTACTTAAATAAGTAAAACTTTAAAAGAGGGTGGGGGGCGCCTGAGTGGCTCAGTCAATTAGACGTCTGCCTTTGGTTCAGGTCATGATCTTAAGGTCCTGGGATCGAGCACCCCATTGGGTTCCCTGCTCACTGAAGAGTCAGCTTCTCCCTCTTCCTCTGCTCCTCCCCCCTGCTCATGCTGTCTCTTTCTCTCTCCCTCCCTCCCTCCCTCCCTCCCTTTTCCTCACCCCTCTGTCCCCCACAAATAATTTTTTATTTTTTTAAGATTTTGTTTATTTATTCATGGGATACACACAGAGAGAGGCAGAGACATAGGCTGAGGGAGAAGCAGGTTCCTCGCAGGGACCCTGATGTGGGACTCGATCCCGGACCCTGGGATCACGCCCTGAGCCAAAGGCAGACGCTCAACCGCTGAGCCACCCAGGCATCCCAATAATTTTTTTTTAATCTTAAAAAAAGAATAGGAAAAATAAAAAATAAAAAATAAAAAAAAGAATAGGATAGGATAGGAAATTCTGTCATAGATCATGCCAGAAGGATAACATTGATTCCGTGTTTGTGCTCTATGAGGTTTGTGATATGAAGATGATTTCCTATTGTGGATCATGGTTGGGAAGTTTGAAAACCCCTAGGCTGAGACACGGGATTGGCACAGTGCTTGGCCCAGGGAATCTCAAAGCAGGGACCAGCTTTGGCCCTCAAGCAGATCTCAGGCTGGGACAGATGCCAACTGTCTAGTTTTTCCTGGAATGAGCCTGGTGGACTGTTCATCCTGCCCTGGAAACAGGTGTAAGTCCAGGTCAGGGTGGGCTGGTATCAATTCTCCATTTGTTGCTCAGGGTGGAGTGCACCAAAATGGCCAGCGAGTATGATGCCGTAAACTTGGGCCAAGGCTTCCCTGACTTCCCACCCCCAGACTTCGCACTTCAAGCCTTTCAGCTGGCTCTCAGCAGTGACTTCATGCTCAACCAGTACACCAAGGCGTTTGTGAGTTTCCCAGCCTCACCTGGGCCCTGGAACACAGGCCTCAAGGAGGCCCCGGGGGAGGAAGGGTCAAGCCATTCTGAGCATCATGCCTACGTGGGTGTCAGGGTTTTTGGGCAAAGTCCTGAGAATTTAGTGTGGCTATAGTTCAGTATTCACTGAGTGTCTTCTCTGTTTCAGGCTCTGGGACAACTCATGGTCTGGGGAAAGATAGACAAAAAACTATGAGCTGGGAGCTCAGGGCCTAGGAGGAAAAGAAGGCAAAAAAACAAAAAACAAAACAAGGCAGTTGATATGCTGTAATAGGGGAGGATGGAATGCTGTGGAAGCAGGAAGAAGGGAATGAAATCTGGGGAGACCAGAGAAGGCTTCCTGGAGCAGGTGACACCTAAGCTGAGTCCTGAAAGACAAGCTGCTGACTGATCTGACTCTAATCCAAACTCTTTTATAAAGGTCACAGGGTAAATATTTGCCAGTCCTTGGTTTAGTAAAGCAGCAAATGGTTCTTAAACTTTGATATGCCTCAGAATTACCTGGGGGGAAATTCCCTCCAGTTCCACCATCCAGAGATAATTATGGCCAAGAGTTTGCTATTTGACTGAGCTCTTAGACTTTTAAACTTTTAACTTTTTATTTTATTTTAAAGATTTTATTTTTATTTATTCATGAGAGACAGAGAGAGAGAGAGAGAGGCAGAGACACAGGCAGAGGGAGAAGCAGGCTCCATGCAGGGAGCCCGATGTGGGACTTGATCCCAGGACTCCAGGATCACACCCTGGGCCAAAGGCAGGCACTAAACCGCTGAGCCATCCAGGGATTCCCAACTTTTAACTTTTTAAAGTGCTATTTGAACACACTCACACACGCATATATGTAACATATGAGATTTGGGTTTTTTAACACAATTGAACTCATGCTATAATGCTCTGTAACCTGATTATTTCACTAAACAGCATGTCATGGACTACTTTCCATGTTAGAATAGCCTCGTCCTTTTTAAGGGCCACCTAGTATTCCAATTGCATAGCTGTGTCATTGTTTCCTGAACCAGCCCTGCCCTAATGGCCCGATTTGGCTATCTCCCTATTAGAAGCAATGGCACAGTGAATATTTCTGGGTATATATTGTTGTACACACATGTAAGCGTTTCTCTCAGACAAGTCCCTAGAAGTAACTAGAGAGTCAGAGGGTGTAAGAATTTATTTTTTAAATTTTTTTAAATTTTTTTAAGATTTTATTTATTTATTCATGAGAGACACAGAGAGAGAGAGAGAGAGAGAGAGAGAGTCAGAGACACAGGCAGAGGGAGAAGCAGGCTCCATGCTGGGAGCCCGATGTGGGACTCGATCCTGGGTCTCCAGGATCACACCCTGAGCCAAAGGCGGCGCTAAACCGCTGAGCCACCCCAGCTGCCCAGGGTGTAAGAATTTAAACCTGTGATGGATGTTGTCAAACTGCCTTCCAAAAAGGTTTACTCACATCCCCACCAACACACTAGTCTCATATTCTTGCCAACCACGGGCATTATCAGTCTTTCATATTGATATTATATTCTTTTTTTTTATATTATATTCTTATAGCAATATTTCATTGTTACTTTTATTTGCTTTTTTTCAATTATTATCCTTTTCCTATGTGCATTGGGCATTGGTACTTTTTCTTTCAGGACCAGCTCCATTTTTTTAGTTAAGTCTATATCTTTGTCTTCTTGTTTTTGTATACCTTTTTCTCTTAGTTTTGTCTTTTAACTTTGCTCATAGTATATTTTGCTGTACAGGAATTTTTAATTTTTACATGGTCAAGTCCAGTTGAGTGAATTATTTAGTGAAGTTCTAGACCTTGAGGTTTCAGTCATTTGGTTCAACCTGAGTGTTTTACAAATGTCCTCTGCAAACAGGCATATGAATCCAGTCTTCCTCTCAATGGGGTGCTTCCATAATAAAATCCTATTCCTGCACCTTAACTGTGCATGAGCTTGAGCAAGTCACTTCTTGTCTCTGGGTCTCTGTTTTTCTACCTGCCAAATGGTGGGGATCAAATAATACAGGTACTGCAAGGCTGCTGGGATGAGCAGATGGTACACATGTGCTTCTTAAACTAAGAGGGAGGTGGTTAAATTGTGGAGTGGAGGCCTCCACCAAGGCCTGTACCCTGTCCGGTTCTCCACTGAATCCTAGCCCTGGATGTTGGGCCTGCACAGAACAGGCCTGATGGCCAGTGCTGGTGGAGGAGATGAAAGAACTCACCCTGTAGGAGTGAACTTTGCCTCAGCCCTGCTGCTAGAGAGTGCTAGAACTGCCTGGATGCAGCTGAGCGGGAGGGTGGGTACAAACTGAGCCAGGCAGGCGGCTGACCGGCTGACTGCTGCTGTCCTGGCAGGGTTACCCACCCCTGACAAAAATCCTGGCAAGTTTCTTTGGGAAGCTGCTGGGACAGGAGATAGACCCACTCAAGAACGTGTTGGTGACTGTGGGTGCCTACGGGGCCCTGTTCACAGCCTTCCAGGCCCTGGTGGATGAAGGAGACGAGGTGAGGGAGCAAGGCTTGGGCTGGGTAGGGATGAGGGGCAAGAGGCAATGCTGATACTAGCTAATCTGGTCCTTCTTGATGCTAGGTCATCATCATAGAGCCATTTTTTGACTGTTACGAACCCATGACGTTGATGGCAGGGGGTCACCCTGTGTTTGTGACCCTGAAGCCGGTAAGGATGCTGGTCGGGATGTTTGTAGGCAGAGGGGTCCAAGGAGTGTGTTGTGTTGGCCCCTGGGAGGTGGGAAAAAAGTAAGGAGGTAAAGGAGGCCAGTTTCTCCAGGGTGGGGAGGGATATCCAGACTCCCAGAGGAGAGAGGTTGGGGACAGATACCTATGAAGGAGGGCGAGATCCTTGGAGCTGAATGCCAGGTCTGTAATTAATTGCCATTCCCTCCCACCTCCTCTTACAGAGCCCCACCCAGGATGGGGAACTGGATTCCGCCAGCAACTGGCAGCTGGACCCCACAGAGCTGGCCAGCAAGTTTACTTCTCGTACCAAAGCCCTAATCCTCAACACACCCAACAATCCCGTGGGAAAGGTACCTGAGAGACCTCCTTCCAGGGACCCCTCCGGACTGGGTTCAAGTCCCTGCTGTGTTACTGATATGCTGCATTGGGCCTCAGTTTCTTCATCTGTGAAATAGGAGGGCAACTTGTAATGAGCTCTGAGGACCGAGGCTCCCCAAGGTCCTGGGGACAGGGGCAGGAATCCCCAGGGAGGGTGTGAAAGGTATAAGTGCTGGCTGGTGTAGCAGCCTGGGTGCCTCCCTGGCTCCCCCAAGACCCTGAGGTAACCTCACTTCTCAGACTGCCTTCTCATATGTAAATTGGTAATGTGACAGAAGTGATGCAGAAGAAACTCCAGTTATCCAACTGGGTGTCTTTCCTCTCACGTGACCACTGCACTTACAACACTCTGACCCTGGTGGTGGGACGTCCCACACCCAGTAATTCTGCAACACCAGCTGGGGTAATGTCAGATCCCATAGGTTAGGGCTCAGCCGCACAAGGCTGCCCACCCTTCAGATGCCAGTCCAGCTTGTCACCTGCGCTTCTGACCAATGGGCTATAAATTTGAGGTTCCCATCCCCCCTTGGGTTCTGTTACTTGGCCATAATGGCTCACAGAACTCAGAAAACACTTACTTAGGTTTATCAGTTTATTAAAGGAGATGAGAAACTATACAGATGAGAAAGGACACAACGTCAGAGGAAGAGATACACAGAGTGAGGTCTGAGAGGGTCCCAAGGAGCTATGGTGCATCACCCTCCCAGTATATGGATGTGTTCACCAATCTGGAAGCACCCCAAACACTGTACTATTGGTATTTGATGAAGGCTTCCTCTCATAGTCATGATCAATTATTATTTTTAAAGATCTTATTTATTTATTTGACAGAGAGAGAGCGCACAAGCAGGGGGAGGAGAAGAGGCAGAGGGAGAAGTAACCTCCCCAGTGAGCAGGGAGCCTGATGCAGGGCTCAATCCCAGGACCCTGGGATCACAGCCTGAGCTGAAGGCAGATGCTCAACCAACTGAGCCACCAGGTGCCCCACGATCAATTATTATTAACTCCATTTCCAGCCCTTCTGCTCTCTTTAGGATGAAGGTGGGGATGAAAATCCAAGCTTCTGATCATGGCTTAGGCATTCTGGTGACCAGCCCTGACCCTAGAGCCACCCAGGTGTCTACCCAGAGTCATCTCATTAGAACAAAACACATTTCTAGTGCTCTTATCACTTAGGAATTCAGTAAGAGTTTCAGGAGCCCTGTGTCAGGGTCAAAGACCAAATATTAGCCCAAGAGATGCTCCTTGCTCCTTGTCACCACAAGGGTTTTAGGAGCTCTGTGCCAGGAACTGGGTGCAGAGACCAATATATATATTTCGTATTATCTTGCAGCAGACCTCCCAGGGTCAGTGTTGCAAGGAATGATATCTGTTCATCTCTCTGAGAAGGCCTCTCTGTTTGGGGGTGGGCCCCACAGGTGTTCTCCAAGGCAGAGTTGGAGCTGGTGGCCAACCTGTGCCAGCAGCACGACGTGATATGCATCACCGATGAGGTCTACCAGTGGCTGGTCTACGATGGTTACCAGCACACCAGCATTGGTGAGCCACACCAGCCTGGGGGCCTCCATTCCCCTGGATATTTGTAGTAGGGCCTTGAGCGCAATCTGGGAGTCAGTGCAGGCCCCGTGATTGGATCTGGAGCCACACAGGTCGTGCGTGTGACCTGGGGCAGCAGCTTTACCTCTCTGAGAGCCGGAGAACACAATGGCACTGCTCCCAGGGTTCTCATGATGATGAGCCGAAATAAGCCCTGTAAATAGCTTAGCACAGAGCCCAGTCTAGAGGGTTAAGAGCCCTAGTGCCCACCGGGGCCCAGCTACTACCCCTCCCCTGCTCCTCATTTCCATCTCAGTCACTACTCTCTTTGGCCTTGGGCAGCCAGCCTCCCTGGCATGTGGGAACGCACCCTGACCATTGGCAGCGCTGGGAAGAGTTTTAGCGCCACTGGCTGGAAGGTGAGTAGATGAGGGTTGGGGTACCACCTCCCCCCACGATCCTGGGCAGGCAAGGCTGCACCAAGAATTAAGAAGAAGTATGGCCAGGTCCTGAAAGGCCTCACCCCCTCCCCGTGTTCCTGGTCCAGGTGGGCTGGGTCCTGGGCCCAGATAGCCTCGTGAAGCACCTGCGCACTGTGCACCAGAACTCTATCTATCACTGCCCCACGCAGGGCCAGGTGAGGAGAGGCAGGGTACCCCACTGTGGAGGGAGAGGCAATAACAGAGCCCCAGGGTCAGATCATCCCCCCCAACCTGTTCGTGCACCCTCTCCAACCCCCCCAGGCTGCAGTAGCCCAGAGCTTCCAACATGAGCAGCTGCACTATGGCCAACCCAGCAGCTACTTTGTGCAGTTCCCACAAGCCATGCAGCGCTGTCGGGACCACATGATACGAAGCCTGCAGTCTGTAGGCCTGAAGCCCGTGATCCCCCAGGGCAGCTACTTCTTCATCGCAGACATCTCAGACTTCAGTGAGCAGAACTGACCAGGCTGGGCCGGGGATGGGGTGGGGGCTGGAGGCTGCCCAGGGCTCAGCGTGGCTTCTGTCCCTAGAGAAGAAGATGCCCGACTTGCCTGGTGATGAGGATGAGCCTTACGACAGACGCTTCGTCAAGTGGATGATCAAGAACAAGGTGGGCCAGGCTCTGCCGGGGCCCCTGTGTGTTTTTTTACAGGCTGGGTACAAATCCAGCCCAGCGTCTGTCATCAGCCCTGGAACAGGGGTGCATCTCTGTCAAGGAATGGGGAGTCTGTCTGGAATTTGCCAAAAGCTGCTGGGGCAGGCTAGTAGGAATCCCTGCGCTCTCTGGTGTGGAGTTGATGCATTCAGCCTGAGCTCGTGCAGCTTTGAGCTCTGACCCTAAGGCTTATTCTTCTTGGCCTGTGCCCTGACCTGCCAGGTGGCACTCCCTGCTCGCAGCCTCCACCTCACCTCTGTTGTTGTTTTTTTTTCAAGATTTTATTTATTTATTCATGAGAGAGGCAGAGGAAGAAGTAGGCTCCCTGCAGGGAGCCCAATGCAGGACTCCATCCCAGGACCCCGGGAGCATGAACTGAGCCAAAGGCAGCTGCTCAACCACTGAGCCACCCAGGCGTCCCTCCACCTCCCCTCTGTACACAGGGAGGGCCTGGGAACCGAGCTCTGCCATTCTTTTCCCCTGACTTGGCCCAGCCCTGGGAGGTGCTGCATGGAAGCTAACTTCCCCTCCCCCAGCCCCTCGTGGGAAGCCCTCTGTCTGCCCCCCACCAGCCAAGGTCTGCCATGTTGTGGGGCTGTGTTGAGACGTGCACTTCTTCCTCCCCAGGGCTTGGCGGCCATTCCGGCTTCCATCTTCTACAGCAGGCCACATCAGAAGCACTTTGACCACTATATCCGCTTCTGTTTTGTGAAGGTAAAGGACGGGGTGTCCGAGGGGAGGGCGGGCCTCCTCCAGACCCCTGCAGCCTGTTGGTGGTGTGGGGAGAGGGGTAGGACCCATCTGTGTCCGCACAGGATGAGTCCACACTGCAGGCCATGGATGAGAAGCTGCAAAAATGGAAGGAAGAGCTCAGGCCCTGACGTCGCCTGCTCCACCCTGCCCCACCTGGTTCCTGCTTGCTCTTTATCTGGGTTTCAGCCATTCCCAGGTTGGGTGTAGATTGAGCCTGAGCCTCCTTCTCTGTGTCATGGGATGCCCCCTTTCATGGAAGAAAGGAAGAGCCCTCTTTCTTGGTCCTGGTGGATTCACGAGCACCTCCCACAGTGCCTATATTCCTGTCATGGTGGTGAGGTGGACCTGACCTGGGCCTCTCCCTGCTCCTCCCTAGATTGGGTCATAGTCTTGGGCCCCCTCCGTATTCTCCCCAGACTTGCCTGGGACTCAACGGACAGAGTCCATCAGTGCACTGGTCTTGAGCCCCAGCCCTGCACTGGCCCCAGCGAAGGCTCCAGCATCCCTCTCTTTTCTTATCTAGTTCAATAACCTTGGGAAGTAGTAGTCTTTATTTAGGCTTGAGTCCTCCAAGCTAGTACTCTTAACCCATAATAAAGTTTTAAGTTATTCCGGCTCTTATTTGCTCCTTCTCTCTGCTTCACGCCGTGGTGCTGATCGCTGATGGGGACTTGGGGAGAGTGGGTGTGGAAGGCGCCTCCGTGGAGCTTAGACTCCAGCCCCTCTTTGTACAGATGTGTTTTGTGGAGTCAAACAGAGGCTTAGAGGCTTAGAAAAGGGCAGAGACTGGGGACTTGTCCAAAGTCACAGTTAGTGGGAAAACGGGCTTAGAACTTAGGGCTCAGATGGGGGGTCAGGGGGTGTCTCTGTAGCATGTGTACATGTGTATAGGAGATGGGGGGCCTCAGCTGAGTGTCTACACAGGCCTATCCCACAGGGGTTAGAGTGCAGGCCAGGAGGGCCAGGGAGTTTAGACAGAAGGGGAAGGAAATAGCTCGTTGAATTGTGCACCCCCATGTGCCACAGGCCTACATGCCCACCATCTCGTTGAACAGCCCTCTGAGATGGGAGTTACTATCTGCGTTTTAACAGTGAGGAAGCCACTTTGGAGGTGATGTGACCTGGCAAGGGTAGAAATGGGTTTGTTCCCAGGGGTGGGCATCTCACTGGAAGGCAAAGATGTAGCTCCAAAATTCATCTGGAAGATGATGCTGGGAACTTGAAGTTGGATTACATTGCAGATGCATGTGCTTGCTCATATGATACATTTAATTGGGGGAGCCGGGGGTGCCTAGGTGGCTCAGTTGGTCAAGCATCTGCCTTTGTCTCAGGTCATGACCTCAGGGTCCTAGGTTCGAGCCCCCCACATCAGGCTCCCTTCTCCCCCTGCCTCTGCCCCTCCTCACTGCTCATGTGTATTCTCTCTCTCTCAAATAAATAAATGAATAATTTAAAAATAATAATAATTAGTGGAGCTGATGGGAACATATAATCAAATGTATTTAGTGTTTGTTCCTGGTTCTTGGCACAGAGCTCCTAAAACCCTTGAAATTCCCTGAGAGCTAGGACTGTCTTTTGTATTCATAATAAGCCCCTTAGACTATGTCATTAGAGGGTCAGAGCTTCCAGTACCAACCCCAGGCCCTGATGGAGGGGAGAGAGACCAAACATTGAGTTCAGTTACTTAATTTGGCCAATGATTTAATCAGTCATGCATAGAGAATAAAACCCCATCTAAAAACCCTGAATCTGAGGCTCAAGGAGCTTCCAAGTTGGTGAGCACATCCATATGCTGAGAGGGTGGTACATCAGGAGAAGGCACCTTCCTCTCCCAAAACCTTATTTTGTGAACCTCTTCCATGTGGCTGTTTCTGCATTGTATCCTTTATGATGGGAATGTAAATATAGCACCTTCCTGAGTGCTGTGAATCATTACATGGAATTATTGAACTCCAGGGGAATGCTGGAATTGCCCCAATATGTAGACACCCAGGCAGAACTGTGGGTAGCCTAGAGACCCCACTTGTTGCTGGTATTTGAAATGGGGGGGGGGGGGCGATCTTATGGAACTGAGCCCTTAACCTATGGGATCTCCACTATCTCTGAGTGCTTCTTGTTAGAATTGAAGTGTGGGATACCCATCTGGTATCGGAGAATTGCTTTTGCTTTGTTTCTTTGTTTTTTAATTTCTTAAAAGATTTTATTTATTAATTCATGGGAGAGAGAGAGAGAGAGAGAGAGAGAGAGAGGCAGAAACACAGGCAGGGGGAGAAGCAGGCTCCATGCAGGGAGCTGGACACAGGACCTGATCCCGGGTCTCCAGGATCACGCCCTGGGCCGAAGGCAGGCGCTAAACCACTGAGCCACCCAGGGATCCCCTTAATTTTTTTTTAAGATTTTATTTATTTTTTCATTCATGAGAGACACACACAGAGAGAGAGAGGCAGAGACACAGGCAGAGGGAGAAGCAGGCTCCGCACAGGGAGCCTGACATGGGACTTGATCCCGGGACTCCAGAATCATACCCTAGGTGGAAGGCAGGCTCTAAACCACTGAGCCACCCAGGGATCCCCTGGAAAATTGCTTTTGGATCGCATTATGGGCTGTGGCTTAGCACACTTCCCTCTCTCCCCGTCCGAACCATGACTCGGTACTTAATCCCACAGTTCCAAAGTCAAGAAACAAAATACAAGCTCAGGGGATCCCTGGGTGGCGCAGCGGTTTAGCACCTGCCTTTGGCCCAGGGCACAATCCTGGAGTCCGGGGATCGAATCCCACTTCGGGCTCCCGGTGCATGGAGCCTGCTTCTCCCTCTGCCTGTGTCTCTGCCTCTCTCTCTCTCTCTCTCTCTCTCTCTCTCTCTCTCTCTCCCTCCTTCTCTCTCTCTCTGTGTGTGCCTATCATAAATAAATTTTAAAAAATTAAAAAAACAAAACAAAACAAAATACAAGCTCAGAGGCTCAGCTTTGGAGTCCCTTGGCCAAGAGACCCATAGCCTGATGGCAAGAAAGTCCCTGGTGGGATAACCCCATAGATTTCATGGGTAGAATCCCCACTCCCACCTGCAAAGTTTCCATGTCTCCTGAACCAATCTAAAATCTGCCCATAACTCAAATCTGTGACTATAGAAGTTCCAGATCTTCAATTGAGTAACCTCAGCCAGCTTGAGAGGGCAGATCTGCCTGAGATGTATAAATGATTTGACTTCTCATTCAGAGGGGAGGGAGAGGCTGGGGAAATAAACACACCCCTTGGAATGTTAACACATACACTGAATTAGAAATCTCTCCCCAGGTACCTGGCTGTCTTAGTCGGTAGAGCATGTAGCTCTTGATCTTGGGGCTGAGTTCAAGCCCCACAATGGGCCTAGAGGTTACTTAAAATATATTTTTAAAAAAGAAAAAAAAGAATTTTTTCAATTAAAACGTTTAAAAAAGGGGGCACCTGGTGGCTCAGTGGTTGAGTGTCTGCCTTTGGCCTAGATTGTGATCCCAGGGTCCTGGGATCGAGTCCTGCATCAGGCTCCCCAGAAGGAGCCTGTTTCTCCCTCTGCCTATGTCTCTGCCTCTCTCTCTCTGTGTCTCTCATGGCAAAACAAAAAAAAAGAAGTTAAAAAAAAGAAATTAATCTCTCCTCTATTCAGTTGTAAGCTCCAAATCAATGTCTGCCTTTACTTACCATTGTGTCCCTGTTCCTGCCTCAAAATAGGCCCTGCTCAATAACTATTTGTTGATTGAATACTGACTAAATTTAAATATTTTTTTAAAGATTTCCTTTATTTATTTGAGAGAGTTCCCACTTGGGAGCAAGAACCAGCGTGGGGGGCATAGGGAGAAGAAGAAGCAGACTTCTGGCTGAGCAGGGAACCGGACATGGACCCCCCCAGCACCCCAGGATCATGACCTGAGCCAAAGGAAAATGCTTAACCCACTGAGCCACCCAGGTGCCCCTCAAAATTATTAATATAAAATAAAATTATTTACATAAAAAAGCTTAGCTCATTCATGGCTGGCAGGAGTGTAGATGGTCTAGTCACATCAGAAGATAGCTTGGCAGTTTTTACAAACCTAAACATAGCCTTAACTGTCCTATCCAGCAATCTGGCTCCCAAGTATTTACCCAAGTGCATTGAAAACTCCTGTCCACGCAAAAACTTGCATATGAATGTTTATAGCAGCTTTATTCATACATAACTGGAAGCAATCAAATATCCTTCAGAAGGTGACTGGATAAACAACAGGCATATCCATGCAATGGAATTGAGCAATAGAAATAAATGAGCTATTAAGCCATGAGAAATCATGGAAGAAACTGAAATGCATATTGCTTAATGAAAATGTTTCTTAAAAGGCCACATACTTTCTAGGGCTCAGCTGGTAGAGCAAGCAACTCTTGATCTCAGAGTTGGGAGTTCACCCCCACCTTGGGTATAGAGCTTATTTAAAATAAATAATTAAAAATAAATAAAGGGATGCTGGGTGGCTCAGTGGTTGAGCATCTACCTTCAGCTCAGGACGTGATTTTTTTTTAAATTTATTTATGATAGTCACAGAGAGAGAGAGAGAGAGGCAGAGACATAGGCAGAGGGAGAAGCAGGCTCCATGCGCCAGGAGCCCGACGTGGGATTCGATCCTGGGGCTCCAGGATCGCACCCTGAGCCAAAGGCTGGCGCTAAACCGCTGCCACCCAGGGATTCCCCTCAGGGCATGATCTTGAGGTCCAGGATGGAGTCCTGCAGCCAGCTCCTTGCAGGGAGCCTACTTCTCCCTCTGCCTATGTCTCTTCTCTCTCTGTGTCTCTCACGAATAAATAAAATAAATTTTTTTTTTAAAAAAGAAGAGGGTAGGTGGAACACAGGATTTTTAGGGCAGTGGACATATTTTGTACCATAATGTAATGGTAGATACATGACATGTCTCTGCCCAGACCTGTAGAATGTACAACACAAAGAGTGAACCCTAATGGAAACTAAGAACTTTAGTTAATAATACTGTATCAGTATTGGTTCATCAAGTATAGTAAACGTACACAGTGAAGCAAGATGTTAAGAGTAGGGAAAAATGAGTGGGGGAGAAGAGTTATATGGGAACTTTTGGTAAACCTAAATCTGCCCTAAAAAAAAAATGTTGGGGCACCTGGATGGCTCAGTGCTTCAGCGTCTGCCTTTGGCTCAGGTCCGGATTCCGGGGTGCAGGGATCAGTCCCGATCGGGCTCCCCGCAGGGAGCCTGCTCCTCCTTCTGCCTACGTCTCTGCCTGCGTGTCTTTCACGAATAAATAAATAAAACCTTTAAAAATAATCATAATAAATAAATAAAAGATAAAGTATGTTAATTAAAAGAAAGAGTAAATGAATGCATCTGTAAAAGAACTGGATTAAATTCTCTCCAAGATCATTTCCTTTTGGGCTACAGGGTCTCCACGTAGAATAAAATCGAGCTGAGCTTTAAGTGTCGCGCTCGTGCAGAAACGGAGCGCGGCTCTCCAGTCGTCCAAGGACCCCCCTCTGGACCCCCAAGGAGGGCGACAAGACCTGCGCGCGCCACCTGCGCCCCCGCTTCCCGCGCGCGCGCACCGCCTTTAGTCGCCTAGGCCACGCCCCCGCGCGCCGCGGGCCCTCCGATTGGGCGGCTCAGAGGAGGTGTAGCCGGAAGGGGTGGGCCTGACTGGCAGGGCGTGGCCGACGGGGAGCGGCGAACATGGCGGAGCGCGCGAAGAAGCGCCCCTGCGGCCCGGTAGGTGGCGGGAGGTGGGGTCCCGGGACGGGACTGGGGGTGGGGGCGCGAGGACGAGCCGCGAGGGGGCCCGTGGAGGGGCCGGGCTGCGCCTCCTGCTCCCTGCTTGTCGCTGATCCGAGGCCGGGAGCGCCGAGGGGCTGCATGTTCGTGGCCGCGTGCGCCCCTGTGAAAACCGGGGTGTGGGTGCCGGGGTCCCAGCCAGGGCCAGCTCAGCGTCAGGCACATTGCTGGAGCCCCTTGCGGCTCCTCTGACCCGGGCGTGGATTCAGGAGGTGGGATCCTGCCCGCCATCTCGAGCCCTTTCGTGGCGTATCTCTTCTGACTCCCAGGGCGACAGTGGGAAGGTCCTCTCCCCCTGGGCTTCAGTTTTCTCCTCTCTCCTGTTAGATTTCATTCAACCGCTTACTGCTTGATGTAATAAGTGCTCACTATGTGCCAGACCCGGTCCTGGGCACTGTAGCATGGCAGGTCCTTGCCTTCCCACGTTCTCCCAGCCGTGGCAGTATGGGGGGTTCCCTGGTTTCCTCACCACCCCCATTTATAGGCAGGGGACAGCTGCCAAGCAGGAAGTGGGACCCACTCACAGCCTCACACCTACCTGTACCTGTTTCCATTGCTACTCTAGGGTGAACATGGCCAAAGAGTCGAATGGCGAAAATGGAAGCAGCAGAGTAAGTAAGGGTCTGGAAGGGAGGGGATCTATTCAGCCTTGCGGGAGGCCACTCTAGCAGTGCACTGCTGAACCTTGGGGAGAGCCTCCAGGTTTGTCCCTCTGGGCCCCACAGCACCCAAAATGGGAAAGAAGGGGCCGTGGAGCCTCCTCGCGCTCCTCACTAAGGTCCAGGCTGACCCTACTTGGGAGGGCACCCTCTCCTGGACTGGTCCATATCCCTCCCCCTCCAAGTCCCTCTCCACTCCACCAATCCAGAGGTTCTCTTATCCAGAGAAAGAAGAGAAAAAGAAGTGGAAGGATCTCAAGCTGATGAAGAAACTGGAGCGGCAGCAGGCACAGGAGGAACAGGCAAAGCTCCAGCAGGAAGAAGAGGCAGCTGCACAGAGGGAGGACCAGGGTGAGCAGGCTGGGTCCTGGGCAGGGACGAGCATGTCATATCTGGAAGGGACCTTAGAGACAAGTGGGTCCAGACATCTTGTCCTGATGGAGAAATTGAGGCCCAGAGAATGGGAAAACTGAGTCCTAACCTCCTACATAGGTAGATTTCAGTCCTTTGAAGCATAAGCATCACATATCATAACTATATACCTTCACTCATCATCATAATGATAGTTATTTTTTTACCTTTTTATTGAGCACTTTCTGTGTGCTTTAGTCTAGTTTTTCATTTACTTTTTAAATTTTTATTTATTTCTTTAAGGAAGCACTACACCCAACTTGGGCTTGAACTCACAACCTTGAGATCAAGAGTTGCATCATCTTCTACCGACTAAGCCAGCCAGGCGCCCCTTATTTTGATAATAAGAATTTATATTTTTTTCTCCTTAAATAATACCTGTTCAAAATAATCCCCCTCTCAAAATACAGAAAACTCTAAAGAAAAATCCCAGCAAACACTGCAGTGAAAGTTTCTCCAGAAGTTTAGAGGGTATATAGATACAGTTTTACAAAACTGAGACCCAAACCTTAGAAGGGTTAGGGTGTCGTAACGTACCCTCTCAGCCCATTGGTTACCACTGATGATGGTGACAATGGGGACAGAAACTGAGCATGTCAGCTGTTTCAGCTAGGAGGGAAGTCCTTCATGGGTGCTCCCTTATGTGCCTCCCTTTGGGCGACTCTGGGAGGGAGAATATGGTGGCCCCTCTGGAGCTAGACAGCCTGAACCCATATCTCAGCTGTCTTGCCTTCTGTGTGACCTTGGGCCACGTGTTTGATCTTTTGGGGGTCACAGGTTGCCCACCTATCGATGGAGATCACTGTAATACTTCTTAGGGTTAGGGTGTAAATGCACACATAAAAGGCCCTAATAATATTAGCTCGCTTTATTATCCCCATTTGACAGCTGGAGAACTGAGGCAGTAAGGGGCAGAGCCGGTGTATAAATTTAGGCCAGTGCCTCTAACCACCTCCAGCCTTGCCCAGGGATGTGCCCTGCTCATGAGAGCCTTGGGGAGCAGTGGGTATATTTTCCTCCAGGGTAGATTGAGGCCTGGAAAGGGGAGTTGGATCTATTTTGCTGGCCTCAAAATTCCTCCCAGAGGGAAAATTCTCTAACTCTGGGTTTGGGGGAGGGGGTATATGTGGGAAGCACCACCCTAGCCTATTGAATGACCATGAATGCCCCTCCCCTGTCCAGGTCGGCCTTACACCCTGAGTGTAGCCCTTCCAGGTTCTATCCTGGACAATGCCCAGTCACCAGAGCTTCGCACCTACCTGGCTGGCCAGATTGCCAGAGCCTGCACCATCTTCTGTGTGGATGAGATTGTGGTGTTCGATGAAGAAGGCCAAGATGTCAAGTGAGGGGCCATCTGACAGGGCATCGGGGCTCAGAGAGGAGGGAGGGATTGCCAGCATTGACTTTGCTTCATCCTTTTCACTGCCTGCTTGCCTGGGCTGAGACTGCTGCCTGAAATGCCCCCAGTATATCTGGTGGGAGGAGTCACAAAGCAGGGGCACTGCAGAGGTCAGATTGGGTGGAGGAGCTCTCGAACGAAGTACAGTAGATTCTGGAAGCCCTGTCTTTCTCTCTCCAGGACTGTGGAGGGAGAATTCAGGGGAGTTGGCAAGAAGGGACAGGCATGCGTACAGCTGGCCCGGATCCTGCAGTACCTGGAGTGTCCACAGTAAGGGGGTGAAGGGCAGACTTCCCTAAAAATGATGTGGAGGAGGGGGGTGGTCCAGGTGCAGGTCAGGCAGGAGGTAGCCTCCCCTGGGAATTTCCTGAGATCCATGTTCTTTACTAGGTACCTAAGAAAGGCATTCTTCCCCAAGCATCAGGATCTCCAGTTTGCAGGTAAGGCTGGAGGGGGTGCTGACCCCCATTTTTCATGGATCATTTCCCCCCCCTGAGAAATTGCTGTGCAGCTGAGAAAACAGGCCCAAGCAGGGCAAGGCCTATGCCTGGTGGCAAGCAGCAGATCTGTGGCAGCCCTGGAACTTGGGCCAGGCCTCAAAGGTTCCTGCCATACTACCGTGTGCTTTTGCACCTCCCTCCCCACAGGGCTTCTGAACCCCTTGGACAGCCCTCACCACATGCGTCAGGATGAGGAATCTGAGTTCAGAGAAGGCATTGTTGTCGACCGGCCCACCCGGCCAGGCCATGGGTCCTTTGTCAACTGTGGCATGAAGAAGGTAGGAATTAGAAGAGTGGGTTGGGACACAAATTGCAGACACACCCTGACCGTGGAAAGCCGGCAAGGTCATGTGAATGGGGAGCCCTCGACCCAGGCATCTGTGCCTGCAGTTCCCCCACTGATGTAGATTCGGGCCAGAGAAGCTCCTAAGACAGGGCAAATTTACTCTCTTAAAAAGTAAATGAAAAAAAAAAAAAAGTAAATGAACAGGGATGCCTGGGTGGCTCAAGGTATGATCCCAGAGTCCCTGAATCGAATCCCGTATTGGGCTCTTTTCATGGAGCCTGCTTCTCTTCCCTCTTCCTATATCTCTGCATCTCTCTGTGTGTCTCTCATGAATAAATAAATAAGATCTTTAAAAAAAAAAAAAAAAAGCAAATGAACAGAAGGTAGTTAGTATTCTCATGCTCAAACCCAGTCCAACCCAACCACAACCCTACAAAAAACAAGTTCAGAATCCCTCTGGGGCAGCTCCAGCAGGATGCAAAGCTGTGCTGGGATCGGCACATCCGCCACCTGGTTACTCTCAAGTCTTCTGGAGGCAGAGACAGAAACTCTTCAGTGTGTAGGGTCCTCTCCTCTCAAAAACAGCAGATCAGAAATGACCGGCTAAATGCACACCAGGATGACCCAGACCCAGACAAAAGGAGAAAACTGGAGAAACCTCAAAAGGAAAAGAGAGTGTGTATCAGGGCATCTGGGTGGTGATCTCCCTGTTCAGGGGGAAGTCTGCTTATTCCTCTCCCTCTGCCTCTCTCCCTCCCCCTGCTTACACTCTCTCTTCTCTCTTAAATGAATAAATAAAACCTTAAAAAAAAAAAAAAAAAGGTACCCTATCCTGAATTCAGAGTTGGCACAAACATGGACATGGGTTGTCATTTGTCACAGCTTGCACTGACCTCATGCCGGGCCCTGGGCAGTGTAACAGGAGCTATTTATGGAGAGTTTGCTGTTTGACAGAGGAGGGAACCAAGGCTGGGAGAGGTTACGTGGCCTGCCGAAACTGCTGTAGCTAGGAAGTGGCACAGCCACATCTGTTCAAAACATAGAAGATTAGGCTTTCATCTCGCAAAATACTTTCTGCTCTGTGCCAGGCCTAGAGTGTTCATCTTTACCCAGTGTCCTGTGGTGGTTGCTTTGCACAAATGGTCTCTCACTTTTTTTTTTTTTTTTTTTTTTTTTTTAAGATTTGTTTATTTGAAGCCATCTGGGTGGCTCTGTCAGTGAAGCATCTGCCTTCAACTCAGGTCATGATCCCAGGGTCCTGGGATCGAGCCCCACGTCTGTCTCCCTGCTCAGTGGGGAGCTGGTTTCTCTCTCTCCCCCTGCCTGTGCTCTCTCTTACTCTGCTCTTTCAAATAAAAAATAAAATCTTTTTTTAAAAAAGACCCCACTGAATGCAGAACCCAAAGTGGGGCTCCATCCAAAGACCCTGGGATCTTGATCTGAGCCGAAATCCAGTCAGCTGCTTAACTGACTGAGCCACCCAGGTGCCCCACGAATGGTCTCTTGAGAACAATTCTGGCCCAGGTGCCAGAGAAAGGGGACAGAGGTTGACCTGGACCCCTCAGGAACCACTACCCCCTCCCCTGGCATCTGGGAGAGCAGTGACCCCTGCTGGCTCTTTGGGGGAACAGCACCCATTTCTCCTGGCTTCTCCCCAGGAGGTGAAGATTGACAAGAACTTGGAGCCTGGACTTCGCGTGACAGTTCAGCTGAACCAGAAGCAGCTCCCAGGTATCTGGAAACTTCCCAGCCTGGCCAGCCTGAGGGCTCAGAGCCACCTCCTGCTACCTCGTTGTCCCTCACCCCATCTTCACAGCCTCCATGCTTCCTCTCCAGAAAGCAAGACCTACCGGGGAAAGGTTGTGTCATCACAGGACCCTCGCACCAAAGCCGGTCTCTACTGGGGCTATACGGTCCGGCTGGCCTCCTGCCTCAGTAAGAACAGAGCTTCCTCCTTGAATGGCTGACCTCCGTCTGAGAGGCCACAGAGAACTTTGCTTGACCCAAAAGGCAGACCATAGTCCTTGCCCTGCCACCATGCTGTGTGTCCTTAGGCAAATGCCTTTCCTTCTCTGGGCTTTGGGCTCCCTGACTGCACTGCCTGGAATTCTGTGAAGGACCTCTGAGGAAAAGGATTGTGGTTCATTATTCATGTCTGCTGTGAGGTTGGGAATAGGACAAAAGGACTAGATAGGTCAAAGGTGCCCTGTGAGTTCTCAGAGCTCCTCCCTACCCACCATCCACTTGGTTTCCCCAGGCTAGCACAGGTGTGCTTTCTCCCTGCTCAGTCCTGGGCTTGCCAGGAACAGTGGGGCGGGGGGGGGGGGGGGGGAGTGGCTGGGCACCACTGCCTTACCTGAATCCCCTTCTCCACCCTGCCCTCATATATGTACACATGCAGCCAAGTGGCTGTGGCATTGAAGCAGGACCCCCACTGAACTGGTCTCTCCCCCAGGTGCTGTGTTTGCTGAGGCCCCCTTCCAGGACGGGTATGACCTGACCATTGGGACATCAGAGAGAGGCTCGGATGTGACCTCCGCCCAGCTTCCTAGCTTCCGGTGGGTACAGCCTGGGGCAGGAGGAATGCAGCTGGGGAAGGAGGAGTGCAGCCAGAAACCTGTCTGCTGGGGCGGAGCTGTACAGACTGGGCCCCTACTGTGTAGGGGGCGGAGAGCTCTGGGAAGCTGCCTTCAGTGTGGCCATGGTGCACAGTGACTGATCCCTCCTGTGGGTACCAGGCATGCTCTTGTGGTGTTCGGGGGCCTCCAGGGCCTGGAAGCTGGAGTGGATGCTGACCCCAACCTAGAGGTGGCTGAACCCAGTGTCCTCTTCGATCTGTACGTCAACACCTGCCCTAGCCAGGGCAGCCGCACCATCCGCACCGAGGTGAGCCTGCTGCCTCTCAGCTCCAGCCCCAGGCTGTTCTCAGGTTGTTGCCAGGTTCCTGTCTGAGCTGTCCAAGCACCTCTGCCCAAGGCTGACTTTAGCCAGCCTTCTCTGAAGATGGTTTCCTTACAGCCTTGGCCTCTCACCACAGCAGATTCCAGCAGGGACTTGGGATGAGTGAGCTCGGACTTAAGACTCCTGGGTGCTGGTGCCCACCCAGCTGTTCCCAGGCTGGGTGGCCCAGGAGACCCTGGGCAACCTGGCTCTGGGCCTCGGTTTCCTCAGCTGTACACTCAATGTTCCACTTCCTTACATGGGACAGTGTTGGGCAGGGCAGCCTTCCCTAACTGTGCCTCGCTGGCATCTCAGTCCTGTGGGGGGCAGTATGCAGCCAGCTCTGGGAGCCTCAGTCCTGGGCACCCATGGAACCCATAGACCCTCTTCTGAGGTCTGCACACTAGAGGCATATGGCTTCCAGTAGTCTCAGAGTGGTGCCTAGGCAGGTGGGCTGCCCTAGTCTGTCCAGGGGGCCACACCCTCCTAGCCAGAAGCCCTGCACCCACCCTGTCCTGGGGGCTGAGAACACCCCTAATCCTGACCCTGAGCCTGGGAGGCAGGGATGATCATGAGCACATTTTACAGAGAGGAGAGGCAAGGCCCTTCCCCAGCAGGGCACACAGCCAGGATGGGGCTGAGCCTGTTCTTAACATCCTTGGTGCTCTGTGGAGGGCACCAAGCCCCTGGGAGTGGGTCCTGGGTGGTGGAGCCCCATAAGGTGAGGAGCTGTGCACCTGCTGGCCTCCCAGGCCCCAGCCCACTGCTGCACTTCCCCTCCAGGAAGCCATCCTCATCTCCCTGGCCACCCTGCAGGCTGGCCTCAGCCAGGCGGGTGCCCGGGCCAGCTGAAGGTCCTGTAGGGCCAAAGACAGCGAAGCAGCAGCAGGGAAACCAGAGGTTCCTGAGGTCCCCCAGGACAGACGCAGCCAAGACTTGTCTCCAGAAATCACCACCTTTTTAATGCGACCCAGCCCCTACAGTCTGGCAGGGTGACACCTTCACTTGCTGCCTACAGTGATGGCCTGGAGGCTGCCTGTCCGTGCCAGGATATTGGGTACGAAGAGCAGCCCCGAGGCCCGCTCGATGCTTTCGATGGGCACGAGGAAGCGCTCCAGTGGGACTGCCTCATCCACCGGAGCATTGGGCATCACGTAGGAGCGGAGTTCGATTTGCCCGCCAGCCGCCTCCAGGATTAGGACTTTGAAGAAGTGGGTCGGCACCGCCACGTGGTTCTTGCCAATGACCTGATACTTCACGTAGGACTTGCCGTCGGCCTCCGTCCTGCAGACAGACCCAGAGCTGTGCCTCCAGGAAGCCTTCCCTGACCTGACTTCCAACCTATGTCAGCCTGTAGGACTGCCACCCTCTTAACGAGGCTTCTGGGCTCTTCTGGGCTCCCCCAGGAGGCTGGGAGCCCCCTGCAGGGTAGACATTCCCTTACCCTGTTTTCCTCAGGCCTACTGGGCCAAGCAAGGGTGGGTGGTGGCAATAAATGCTGCTGAGAGATTCAGGCCTTGTGGGCATTCACCTTCATTCGTACAGACACATGATCACTGGCCACCTCCCCTGTGGTGGGGGAGCTTCAAGAGGCTAAGGCACATGACCCAGAATTCCCAGTGCCATCACAGGGCCTGGGGTCCAGAACACAGGATGAGGGACTTCCAGTCATCCCCTTGGCAGGGTCTACGCCATTCCAACAGTCCATAGGAGGCACCTGCTGATTATCAGTGTCTCGGCTGGCCCATCCTAAGCACTCACTACAATGACCTCCAGCACCCCACTTTACCCCTAAGCAACCACGAGGTAGGTAGTAAGTAGCTGTTATCCACATTTTACAGGAGAGAATATGGAGGTCATTTGCCCATGGCATCCAGAGACCAGGTGGTAGGGCCTGGGTTCTCTCTCAGACCTGTGGACTCCAGAGCCAGCGGCTTCCCCACAACCCTTTGCCTCCCTGATCTCAGTCTTCATTGGGCCAGAAAAATCACTGAGCATGCCCAGGGGAGCTCGGTCCCTTCTACCTAGGAGGCAGGGCTGCAGAGAGACAAGAGTGAAGGCTCAGGGTCGAGGAGGTGGAGGTCACACCGTGGCTCCAGGAGAAGGGTGAGGAGGGTTGCTCTAAGCAGAGCAGACAAGGCAAGAGCCTGGTGCTAGCTAGGCTTTTCTATCTGGACAGAAACAGAGTCAGGTGCATGTGGCAAGAAGTGAGAAAAGAGAGGAGCAGAGACATGTTTGGGGCCTGGTGCCGGGGGCAGGAGAGACGATCCAGGTGGGTACCCGACAGGTCTCGCTACAGTCCTGGAATTCGGGGGCCTGAAGCACAGAACAGACAGACATGCCAAGAAACCAGATGACATGACCTGGCACTGCACGAGGACCCAGAGGCTGAGGCAGGCCTGGATGCTGTGAGTGGCAGGAGGGCCTCTACTGGATAGGAGAGACCCTGGCATCCCGGGGGCCCCCCAGTTCGAGCCTTACCTGGGCAGGAAGAGCGGCCCTGTGCACACATAGACATTTTGGTAGGTGCGGGTCAAGCTGCGGCTGTACTTCTCCAGGTTGTTCCAAGCATTCTGGTTGAGGTGGGGCACCTGGTTGGAGAGGTGGGGCTCAGGGAGACTGGCTGGGGTCCTTCCCCTGTTGTCACATGGGAAGGAATTGGCACCAAACGGGGACAGTCCAATGGGGAAAGGAGTGGGCAAGCATGGGGTGGGCAAGTGTGCTGAGGTAACAGGTTCAAGGAGGGAGACGCCTTTAGGCCACCTGGCCATGAGGGTGGAGCCAGAAACCGTTTCTCACCCCCAAAGAGCCACACTGAGGAAAAGGGGCAGTTCTCCCTCTTCAGAGAGAGAAACAAGCCTCTCCTCCTGAGCCCTCCCTCCCCCCATGCCCAGGAGCTCTTGGGAAGGCCAGCTCTCCAGCCCTACCCTCTCCTTTCCTCTCCAGATCTGAAGCACATGCAGAGCCCAGCTGGGGCTGCTCCTGACTTCCCGCTCTTGAGCATTCCAGTGTCTGGTCAAATGGGCAGGGAACTGCAGCACTTGGAGAGCAGAAGTCCTAGGAGCCTCATACCCCATTGGCTTCACCCAGAGCCCAGGGGGCAAGTCTCCAGGCCCTGCTCTGCGGAGGGCACACAGTGATGGCTACCAGCTGACTTTGCAAGTTACTTTCCTTTGACTCCTGGGAGGCAGGCAGGGTATGGACGATGGCTGAAAGCTCAAGGTCCTCTAGACAGACTGCCTGGGTCTCCTGCTGTGTGACAATGGGCCAGTCACTTTGCCTCCCTGTGCCTCAGTTCCTTCATTACAGCTAGCATGCATGCATGCTGAGTGCATGCCGGCCAGGAAGCGAGCTCTGTACTTTTGTGTGCATCGTCTTCTTTCTCCGCGCTACTGCGAGGAAACAAGCTCAGGGAGGTGCCCAGAGGCGCACTGTAGAGGTCGGACTGCAGAGCGGGTGTTGGGTGCCCCGTGCTGTGTACCTCCCGCCCGGGGCGCGCGGGGTGAGCAGCCAGGCACCTGACCCGGCGCCCGCACTCGGCAGCTTCGCAGCCGAGGTTCGGAGAGGCTCAGGGGGGCGAGCGCGGGCGCTACCTGCGGCGCGACGTTGCTCAGGTAGAAGGTGTCCTCCATGGCCTTCTGGCTCCAGCGGTGGTTGGCGGCGGCGGCGAGGTGGCCGCGGTCAAAGCCGCTGCCGCGGTAGTCGGCGTTGGTGGCGCGGTGGTACGCGTGCACCGAGTCGTCCTCGCGGAAGTCGCACGAGCGGCGGTCGCCGTCGCCGCGGAGCCGCTCCGGCCGCAGCTGCTCGACCACCCAGAGCGCGCCGCGGGTGCGCGGATCGTAGCACAGCACGTACGACTCGCGGCTCTTGAGCTGCGCCAGCCCCGGCAGCCCGTACTTGGCCAGCTCGCTCGCGCCCGCCGGGGCCCCGGGCTTCGCGGGCACGGCGGGCAGCTCGGCCGCCGCGGCCATGGGCAGCACGGGCAGCCGGCCCAGCAGCCCCGGCGCCGCCCGCGCGTCCGCCCTCCGCCGCCGCCAGCCCTCGGCCGCCGCGCCCAGCCCCGCGCCCAGCGCCAGGGTCAGGGCGGCCCGCAGCGCCTGCATGGCGGGGAGCGTGGCCCGAGCGCCGGTGGAGCGCAGTTCCCGGCGCCCCGGGGACGCCGCGACCTCCGGCGCCCGACCTTCGAGGCTCTTAAAGGGGCTGCGCAGGACTGCGGGGCCCACCGCGGGGAGGGGGTCGGGGAGGGGCGTGAGAGCGGGGGATGGCCGCCCCTTCTACTCACTGACGCTTCGGGGAACTGGGGACCCCAACGGAGTGGGCGAGGCCTGGCGCCGAGCTGACGTCCCGGCGCCCTTGCTTTGCCGTTTTAAGACGCGCGGAGGGGGTGGGCGGGAGGGCGTGCCACCTCCCCGGCTCGGCTCGTGATTGGCCGCCGCCGCCCAGCCCCGCCCTCCGCCCAGCCCCGCCCTCCGCCCAGCCCCCTCGGGCAGCAAGGGGCCCCTCTGCGCGGTGGTAGGAGCTCCAACTTCAGGAGCGCCAAGTGTTACGTACTGAACTAAACCATTTCCAGTACTAGACTTAATCTTTAAAAGAGCCTTGAGAGGGATCCCTGGGTGGCGCAGTGGTTTGGCGCCTGCCTTTGGCCCAGGGCGTGATCCTGGAGACCCGGGATCGAATCCCACGTCGGGCTCCCGGTGCATGGAGCCAGCTTCTCCCTCTGCCTATGTCTCTGCCTCTCTCCCTCTCTCTCTCTCTGTGACTATCATAAATAAATAAAAATTAAAAAATAAATAAATAAAAGAGCCTTGAGAGGGAGTCTCTAGTTGGCAGAACAAGGAGACAAGGCCCCAGGTCTGACTGACACCAAAATCCACCCCCCCTAACCATTACAAAGTTACGTCAAAAGTTCTAGGACACTGGCAAATGTTTTAACAAGCGGCAAGAGGACAGCGTAGGGGCTGATGCTCACTGCTGGTTGGAAGAAAAACTGGCACGAACCTAGAAGGCAGTTTGGCAGTATATATAAAAGTCTTAAAAAGGTTCATACTTCTCAATCCACTTAGAGGACTGAGCTGGGGAAATGAATCTGGAATGCAAGGATCTTGAACAGAAACCCTTCTCCACAGTATTATTACTCATAATGAAGGCTGAAATAACCAAAATAGTCCAAGATAGGGGCTGGACTCAGACGTTTTTAGCATATGTGAATTCTATATAGCACATAAATATATTTTAACATCATATAGCAACTTGCTTACCACCTAAGGGAGGGAGCAGACAGTACACAAACTATAAGAAAATGACAACGATGTAGCAAAGACTAACGTGTTCTTGGTGATTTTCTTTAGATTGTGGGTAGTATGCATTTTATTTACTTGAATTCTCAGTTTTGTCAATCTCAAAAACAACTTGCTGTGTAATCAAGTGCATAGCACCTCTGTCCCAAGCCCACTGGCCTTTGGCCTCCAGCTGCAAACTGCAGTGGTTGAATGAGAAGACTTGAACAGGCTCTTCCAAAAATAATTTCCTGACCTTCTTTGCCAACTCTCAGAGCCTCCTGACTCCATCCCTACTCAAACTTTCCCTCCTCTAAGGTCTCAAAAGGTTTCAGCCCATCACAGCACCAATGCCCATTGCAAAGAACACATGATTTATTAAAGACAACTTGTCATCAACAGCATTGATTCAAGGAATAAAACTAATGAACAATAGCAGACTCACATTCTGACCCGAGAGTCAGACTTGCTGAGTTCGTACAGCCCAACCTATAAGTGTCCTAAGTCCTGGGGGCAGCTTCCCAACTGGGAAGCCTCAGGCCCTCTGGTTCTCAGAGCACTCCCTGGAGAATCTCAGGAGGGGGAATCCCCAAGGCTCTGTCCTTTCCTTAGGCAGTATCCCACTGGGGAGCACAGCCTCATCTG